TACTACAAAAAGGTTATAGAACGTATTGTAATGATTCATATTAAATTGTGATTTGAAAGCAAGTTTAAAATCAAGAAGGTGTGTTAGAAATAATGATTTCAAACTAGCGCGCCAAGAGTCCTTGCAATTCCTGCTGCGAACCCTGTAGTTAGTTGTTAAGATCACGTTGTGAGTGAACATGGTTTGTGATATGCGTCCATCAATAATTAAAGATTAAATATATTCCATTATCATTCAGTTCACGTTAAATCATGAAGATTTAATTTATTTCTTTCCTTCATATATTAACACAAGTCATAGAAATGATCGAGGGTCCAATTGCCTGCTGCAATTTTTACTAATCAACATTGTAATTTCTGCTGTTTCGTTGAGTGAAATGTAGGAGGAATGAGAGTATAAATCAAAATTTTAAAACGTAAACAAAATTACAATGTAACAGTAAAAATCCATGCGATTTGAGTAAATTTTCGTTGATTCAACAGTAAAAATGCTTTTAAAGAAAAACGTTTAAGATGCTCTTAAATTTCATTTTTTCGTGCGCGCATTTTATACTGTTTCTTTTATTCAAAATTTAGTATGTTAAATAGTGAAAAAGAAATTTCACATCGCAAAAATTCAGTTAAAATACATCAAATTTTTAAGTTTGTCTGGTATGATCCTGGATGGCTATGTGCACGTAGTAATTTTTATTTAATTCTTATTATTATTCTTTTCGCGTAGGGGTCTGCGAGACATCGAAAATGCAGGTCAAGCCAACGGAAATTTTCATAACTAATTCAACGAGTTCGAGTCAAATTCCCGTACATATCGGAAAATTTACGGAGATGAATAAGAACTTGTTTCTTATCGGGCTTTAGCGTTCCACGCACCAATATAAAAATCGAAAACAATAGAGTATTATTATATTTTAGACCAATTGAATGAAATTATCTTCCCGTGGAATACTTCGTGAGTGGTTTAATCATGTTCTCATAAAAATGCAAAATAGTACAGAATTTATGTTCTTTGTTGCACAATTACTGTTTCATACCACAAAACGGAAATATCAGTCAAGAGATTGAAATCATCGAGAGCCCAAAGAATTATGAATAATCTGAAATTCCAAGTAACTCACATTTATCGACTTCTTGAGACGATGGAGTACCTGACTCGAGCTTGACTTGCCAAACTTTGACTTGATTCAACACCGACCTACTCGCATTTTCAAGTATTAGTAGACCCCTACTCTCACTTATTCACGGAAAAAATAATATTCTCGAATCGGGTTGCTAATATTCCGGAATCAGGAATATGTGAATTTCGGGATTCCGAATTTATATTCCGGAATAATATTCCAGAATCCGGTATGTTATATTCCAGAATCCTGGACATTTTATTCTCGATTCCGGAGACATCCCCAGGAGTTTGCTGATTTTTCAGAGGATGCAGGGAGTGTCGTGAGTTTTTTTTTGCAATAATAAGCTTTTGGTCGTTCGGAGTATTTGGAGTTCAAATGTTTTTTTTTCAATCAAAAATACACAAAATTTAGTTGTTCGTAGAATAATCTGCAAAGGAAAATTTCACCCCGGTCGTTATTCGAAAATGTCTCATGATATCCGTTTCACCCTCAGAAAAATCGGCGAAGCTCTGGAAATGGTACAAAGGGGTTGTATACTGTTGAAAAAAAAATCTGAATTTTCCGGAAAATGGAGCTAAATTCCATTTAACCGAAGACAGCCTATGAGATTTCAAGTTTTCCTGAAAATTCAAGGACATTCCTAATTTATCAGTGGAAAACGAAGGGAAATTCCATAGTGTGCCTGAATTTCCAAAACAAATATGAAAATTCAATAAGAAATTTTCCTGAAATTTCAAAGAAATGAAAATTGAAGGATATTTTTTCCTGATTTTTCCTCATTTCCAATAATCTTCATGGAATAATTTAATTGAAATTTACAATTGCCATGGACTTTGCCATGAAAATCATGAATTGTCGATGATAAAATTCCCTGAAATTTCAGTGAAACTGTTACTTGCTTGATATTTCAAGGCTAAAATCCGAAAACTTTAGCGAAAATCGTTTAACAGTGTATTGAGAGAGTGAAAAACTCAATTTTTCGTATTTTTAAACGGAAAACAAATGTCTGCACCTCAAATACTCCGGACGACTAAAGTTTGTTATCCTAAATTGTCTCATGACACTCTTCTTACCTTTTGAAAAATCGGTAAACCCCTGGGGATGTCTCCGCAATCGAGAATAAAATATCCCGGATTCTGGAATATAATATACCAGATTCCGGAATATTATTCTGTATTCCGGAATCGAGATATGCGGTAGCGTATCGGCCAAGAAAAGTTTTGACCGACTGAGCAAACCTTCAGGTTTGACCGACTGAGCAAAACATCAGGCCGAAAGCACCGCGTATCGATCGAGATACGCGATAGCGTATCGGCTCGATCTATACACGACAGAACTTCCCCCTCCACTACCTGTAAATCGAGATACGCGATAGCGTATCGGTCGATCTATACACGACAGAACTTCCCCCTCCACTACCTGTAAATGATTTACATTCGGTATAATGAAAACGGGATGACAAATTGGGAAAGTGTCGTTAGTTACATTATATAAATCGCCTATGAGCTTTTCAACGGTGTAACTATGGTATTTTTTGGATTAACAGTAAAAAAGATAGGCGCATAGCAACCAGTTGATCATATTCACATTATAAAGTGTGAGAATCAAGTTGTAACGTTGGCAGCGCCGGTCCAACTGAGCTTCATATCCAACCTTGAAGTGTTGCCACCAGTGCATTTGAATGTTGGTTGTGATGTTGTTATGGAGAACCACAGAAAATGTTCTTCTTCACGTTAAATCACTTATTAGAATGAAACGGAAAATCGACTCGGTGTTCTATGTTGTTTTCTGTTGTCGAAAATTCGAATTTCATCCTGCCATATCTATATTCATATGCGAACCTCGGACATAAAGGTAGTTTATGCACTGTTTGTGAGGTAATTGGTTTATGTTTGGAATGTGACAAAAGGGAGATGTGTCGAAAATATTGTGTGGTCAAGTATTAAATGTCCGTGAATAGTTAAATTCGAAAAGAAAATATTTATTTTTCTCCGAGTGTAACAGAAAATGTTTTCATTCCGTGGAAAAAAATTCACTAAATTAAGTGACAGTGAAATGCAAACAATTTTGTGATTATTTGAGAAAAATTAGTAGGAGACGGTGGGATTAAATGGACACTTTGAATCCTTTCCAAAATGTTGATGTCTTATTGAAGTGCTGATGAAATTGATTTTTAAAAAATTAAAGTACAGTCAGCCCCTTTGTAATAAGCTTAGATTGAGCTCAATCGATAAAATTGTTCCTTGGTTATAAATATTGAACCAAGAAGTCAGAAGAGTCCATTCCACCCAATGTTTCCCTAATATTTTTAAAAACAAAAAAAAAACAAAAACAAATGTTTTCGAAAAGAATTCTTTGTGAACATTTTGTTCGACTGTTCCTATAAGGAAATCAATTCCTCTCCAGAAATACAATCCGCATAGGAATCATCAGAGCAAAAATTGAATGAGGAACCAAATCAAGTCAGAAAATTATTAATAGATAGTTAAATATTGAAATTCGGTGGAGACAATAAATCTGGAGTAGAACTGTTTATTTCCCTTCAATTGTTGATTCAAAAAATGTTCTATCTTATGAAAAATGAATGAGTTAAATTGAATTGAAAAGAACAAATTTCACCGGATGTAAAAACAGTCCTTGCTTATTTTGAAAAAAATAATGAAATCTGCCTAAAAACACAAAAACAAATGTTTTTGTAAAAAAACTGGGCCAAGAAAAAGTTTTGTTTGATTCCTACTGGGAAATCGAAGTTTTTGAAAAATACATAGAAATAAAAAAGGAAGCCAAGTTGGGAATTTTGAATAAATGGATGGTGCACATTCAGGTTTCTATAAGAATAATAGTTCTCAATGGAATAAGTATTCTAAAAAAATTCTCCATGAAATAAAAAATCAATAGGAGCAGGACCAACGTTCTTGGCGCGGAGTTTTTCAATTCACTGTCTGTATCAATCTATTCCTCCATCCTTTGAGCCGCGTCAAGGACGTTAGTCCTACTCCTACTGATTTTTTATTTCATGGAGAATTTTTTTAGAATACTTATTCCATTGAGAACTATTTGTTATAGAAACCTGAATGTGTACTATCCATTTATTCAAAATTCCTAACTTGGCTTCCCTTTTTATTCCTATGTATTTTTCAAAAACTTTGATTTCCCAGTAGGAATCAAACAAAACTTTTTCTTGGCCCAGTTTTTTTACAATATAATATATCGGATTGCGGAATATAATATCCCGGATTCCGGAATATTATATACCCGATTCGAGAATATTTATTTTTCCGTGTTACATTGATTCATTCCATTGTAGAATGTAGAATAAGTTATTCCTGCTAGAGATGCAAAATGACCGTCATTTTTTAGATCGCGTCATATGACCAAAAAATGACGGTCTTGTGACGGTCATGTGACGTACAAATTTTCCAACTACAAATGATTGTCACAAATCATTTGTAACCAAATTGTTGTCAAACCATCTATACATATAGTTGCATAATGACGGTCATAAATAATTTTCAATTTGTGACGGTCATGAATAAAACAAAATAGTTTCATCTATATGGATGGAAAAAAAACGTGATTTCAATTTTAAAATGGATTAGGCCAATACAAAAGGAATTAAACTGAAAATTGACCGTGAAAAAAAAAAAGTTTCATCTATATAGATGAAAAATGACTGTCATTTTTTCTTGGGAAGTTGCGACAGTCACAGAAGGGGGAGGGGGAATGTGACAGCCGTCATGAACGCCTCGTCATGTGATCGTCAATGACGGTCACATGACCGTCATATGACGGGTCATGTGACACATTGCATCTCTAATTCCTGCTCGTATAAATGATCTCAGAGAACAATTCTTCAGGGTAATTTGCTTACTCTTGTTTTTAGAGCGCATTTGTCGTGGCTATTTTGAACATATGGATTCCTCAGTGTGTGGGACATATAGTAAATGTAATTACAAAAGTGAGACAAGAGGGTAAAAGCAGTTACGATGACAGTGACTTCATGACAAGTATTTTCCAACAATTGGCAGCTCCTGCATTCAAACTGGCTCGCATGTATATTATTCAAGTATGTAAGTTTGGACTGAACTTTATAGAATATGAAAATCGTATCCAATTATCAATTAAGGATGTTTATCCAAAATGCGGGCACTTGAAAGTTTTTCTTTTTTTTTTTTCATTTGCCAGACATAGTTGGCTTCTTCATCTTAATAAATATGTTAATTCAACAACTCAAGTTGATTGTTCAGAAGCAAAATAGAGAATATCCGACAGAAATAGGCGTTACAACCCAAAAAAATTTCTTGATTTAAGTAGATCGTGAATTGATTCACATATTTTTCCTACTCGATTCAAGCCAAAAACTTTATCCAATCTATCCGATTTTCCAAATAATTATATGCATAAAAAAGATTGTTTTATAAAAACTGGTGTCAATCCTGATTCAACTAGAAAAAATACTTGATTCAAGTATCTTCCTACTTAATTGAACTCGAGTTCGCGAATCTACTCGACTTAACATTTTTTGAAGATCCGCGATTCAAGTAGATGAATCTACTTGAAATGAGTAGATTGTCGATTTGATTCTATCCTACTTAGATCAAGTAGATACTTCAATTTGAATCAAGAAAATTTTTTTTTTGTTGAAGTATGTGAACATATTCTATAATTTAATATCTTGAATATCGTCAACATTTGTCCGAGTACCATAGATTTTTCTTGTCCATTCTATTTCCTATATTTTTTACACAGTAAACTTCGCATATTTTTGCGCTCTATTTTTTTCTAGTAGATAAATTATCCATTTTTCTATAAATCCCATATGAAATCGCACATAAGGAAAAATCCGTTCATTTCATTTTGTCAAAACTATTGCAATGAATTTTTTTCAATATTTCATGGATATAATAATCATAAAATTTCACGGGATGATATTTCACATTTCAGTGCCACCCCATAAAATTGTATTTTGACACTGCTGCTACGTTCACCTCGTGCCGAAAAGTGCCTTTTCGTGTACTCGTAAACGAAAAGTAAACGAAAAATCTTTCCGTTTACTTGTAATTGAAGAACGCCCAGTTCGGCCACTCGCTGAATGTAACATTACTGTCAAAATAGTATATTTCGATACAAGTGAGATAGAATTTTCAAGAGCCAATCACACGAGTTGATAATTCCTGTCTCACATGTGTCGAACAATATTTTTCATCACGCTGTGACGAAACGTGAACTTTTCGGCACGCTCCGCGTGCCTAAAAGTCCAATTTCCGCCACATTGTGATGAAAAATATTGTTCGTAACTCGTGAAAAAATGTTGTTTGCACTCGTTACGAAATATACTATTTTGACAGTGATGTTACGTTCACAGAGTGGCCCAACTGTGCTTTTTTCATTTACCCGTAAAGAAAAAGGCTTTTACGCCACTCATGACACGAGCGCGACACGAGACGCGAAGCGTCGAGTGTGTAATCCAGCCGGTTTCAGGCTTCGTGACATAAAATTTTGTTCAGTAGTACTTGTTGGGAAATTTCGTCCTTAACGTGTGTGGTTACATCACTCGCCTTCGGCTCATGCTGTAAACCCCACACACGTTAAAGACGATATTGCCCCACATGTGCTGAAATATACTATTTGGCGAGTGGGAGGTTTATATCACGAGCCGAAGGCGAGTTAAAAAACATTTTTTCACGAGTTACGAACAATATTTTTCATCACAATGTGGCGGAAATTGGACTTTTAGGCACGCGGAGCGTGCCGAAAAGTTCACTTTTCGTCACAGCGTAATGAAAAAACTTTTTTGCACTCGTTATGAAATATACTATTTCATCACACTGCCCGTAAAACGCCGGCGAAACCAACTTTTCTGATTGGTGTGATTTGTGTCTCGCATTCGTTAGAAAAGTTTTTTTCGGCCTTGTGACAAAAATAGCTATTTCTGTACTATTTCTCACGATTTCTCGTCTAGGAATTGGCATTGTATTCTTCCCAAACTCGGAAACTGGAAAATCACTATGAAAAAGTCTTCACTACGAAAAATTCTGAACGGTTGCGATGGTTTTTTTTACTCGCATGGTTGGCCAGTCCTCGCCTTTGGCTCGTACGTCAACGCCACACAAGTAAAAAACCCTATCGCAATAGCCCGGGAACATAATATTGGTTTACTTATCGTAAACGAAAAAAGGCACAGTTCGGCACTCGCTCAGCGTTACACCACTGTCAAAAAATACATCATTCGCCACATGTAAGACGGGAATTTCCAGCTTGCGACTGACTAAAGAGTCACAGTTATATTAAATTCACGGGGTTATTATTTCAATTATATCCATAACTCCAATAACTATTAACAAAATTCTTCGTTCCAATTCCTTTGAATGATTTTTTTATCCTTTTAAGGCATTATTCACCTTTACCTACATCTATACTCTCTCTTGCGTTGGGGAAAGAGTCGCTCAGAAACTGCGTTACGATCTGTTCCAATCAGTGATGATGCAGGACATTGAATTTTTCGATAAAAATCGATCCGGGGAGATCATCAGTCGTCTAACGGGTGATATCCAAGACTTCAAGAGTTCTTTCAAGATACTCGTGTCACATGGACTGAGAAGTTTAACCCAGATTGTGGGTTGTGTCATATCTGTGGTAATCATATCACCTCAGTTGACCGGTGTTATGGTATTATTTATGCCAACAGTTATATTTATTGGTAGTTTCATTGGAAAGAATTTGAGAAAATTGTCTGGTGAGGCACAGGAGCAAATTGGCAAATCCACTGCTGTCTGTGAGGAAGCTATACAAAATATTCGGACGGTAATGTTTACTTTTTACTTTATTTTGCTTAGTCAGTTTAGAAAATGTCCAAGTGGATGTCTCGAGGGACAGGCCCTGCAGTGAAATTAGTCTTCGAAAAAGTACATTGTTTGAATTTTTCAATGCAATAAATTCCAGATTTCATAAAATGATGAATTCCAGTTGTGTCACATTCAACTGAACTTCATGAATCCTAGTGCAGTAGATTTGGTCGCTTTGAGTAGTAAGAAAAAACTAACGAATGTCAGTTTCGCAAATAATTTTGTAATTTCTATATTTCTGTCCATGGCCGATATAAGTTCAAATAGAACTGATTTTACGAGAAAATGTGAAGAGACTATTTCATAGCTCATATACTTCGAACAAGAACTGTTTCTCAACATTTTCCCTTAGAATTATTTACTAAAGATTCAATATTCACTTAAAAGGGTAGAATTGACTGTTTCAGTTCTGTTTTCTTATATTCAACTACTATTCGTTAGGAAGTTTGTTGATGTTCTTATGTCAACATACGTCTATAAAAATCAAGCTATAAAGCAGAATAGGAAAGTCGTTTGATAAGTCAATGAAGAAAACTGGGACTTGAAAAAAAGTTTGGAGACAGAATCGTTACTACCATTTTGTCATTTTAACGAATAACAGTTAATATTTATGTAAACGAAATTTCAGTTGTGTTGCATTCAACTGGACTTCATGAACTAAAGAATCAAATTTATGCTGTCGATTTTATAATTGATATTTTTGTAAATTGTCAACAGACATTTTTGTTGTTAAAAATTTAAAAGAAAAATGACTTTATTTTTCCAAAAATTTTCATTATTAATGAAATGATATTTTCCAACAGGTGAGAGCGTTCGCAGCTGAAGAAAAGGAGCTCGAGGTTTTGAAAAAAGAAGTAGAACAAGCCACGACATTATACGAAAAATTGGGCCTTGGTATTGGCTTGTTTCAAGCCGGGGCAAATTTATTTCTCAACGGAATTTTACTCTCTACTTTATACTTCGGGGGGCACTTGATGTCCAGTGGACAATTGTCACCTGGAGATCTCATGGCATTCCTCATGGCGACGCAAACGATTCAGAGATCTATGACACAGCTTTCTTTGTTATTTGGAACTTATGTGCGAGGAGTCAGTGCTGGGGCCAGAATTATGGAGGTAATTAATTTATATTTTCAATGGAAATCGAGGGTACCATGGATACATGGGTGAGTGCAAAATCTTTCAATTTTTAATAATATTAGCTATTTTGACGTTGTTGTGATCGAGTACAGGGTGACATCAGCCCCAGTAATTCAATGACATAAGAATGATGAAATTACAATAGTAAATTTTTGAATAGTAAGCGTTAGAATTTTTTAATGATTTACCCAATAAAATCATGGTAGGTTTCCACCATGCCGCCATGATTGAAAATGGCGATGGTACGACAATTATGGCGACATTTACTACGATGATTTTAGCAACATTATGCGTGATAGTTGGGGTACCATTATGTGCGATAGTTTGAACAATGTTTATTGCAGTCATGAACCGATAATTTTATCACCATGAAGAGCGGTATTAACTATCATATCAAGTCCCATTGACAACCGCGTTATCATTTCCAATCATGGCGATAGGCAATCGCAATGGCTGAAGTATTGAAAAATTCAACTGTTCAACATTTGAAAGTCTATTGTCGGAATTTAGTAATTTCTGTACCATTGAATTTGCGATTTCCTATTCTATATCTGCCTGAAATTTGTAAACAAAGTGCTGACGTCACCCTGTAGTTCTTTTCAGAAGTGGGAAAAAAGGAAAACTACAATAAAAATAAACAAACAATTTGAGAATCTATTTGAGGCAAAGCTATTTTGATATTCCACCGAGAAGTCCATTTTACCCTAGCTCCCCTGTTGATTGCCCCTTATTTTTGACAGTATTTAGAAATGCCACCAGCTCCCATTATGGTTGGCGGTAAAAAGGTAACGAACGAGACCTTCAAGGGAGATATCGTCTTTGAAAATGTGAAATTTAGTTATCCCACAAGACCAGAGTTTGTAGTTTTGAAGGACTTCTATCTGCATATTCCGGCGGGTAAAACTGTGGCTATTGTGGGCACCAGTGGTAATGGAAAGTCAACGGTTGCTGCATTGTTAGAGAGGTACCCCCTCAGTAAATTCTAAACGTTGATAACCAATATCTACTAAATACTTAATAGGTATTTTGTCCTTCAGGTTATATGACGTCACAGCAGGATCAATAAAAATAGACAATACAGACATTAGGACTTTAAATTCAAGTGATCTCAGGGGCAAAGTGTTGGGATATATCGACCAAGAACCAATTTTATTTTCTACTAGTATTATGGAAAATATTAGGTATGGTAACATGGAAGCAACTGATAAAGAGGTAAATTTCAATATGACAATTTATGCTTTAACCCTAGATTAGTCACCGTATGAGGGAGAATACCACAACGTGTCATTTTTCTTTAATTGCAATTGACTGGGTAACCGGAAAATTTTTGAAAAATTTGGCTTTTTGGTAAATGTTAAGTAAGGGGTCCATGTCTAAAAAACTTCGGTTGAAACAACTTCGTCAAAAAAACTTGGACAGTAAAACTTGGTCAAAACAAGTTGGTAATAAAAAAAAATTGTAGAAAAAAAAAATTCGAACAACTTGAACGTCAAAAAACTTGAAAAAAACTTTTAAACTTTTAATGTATAAAGAAAATTGCAAAAAACATTTTTAGAAAACACATACATACATGCATACATATGTACATACATACTTACGTACATACATACATACAGATTTCATTCATACAGACATTTGAACAATAGATTAATTGAATTACCGTGTGAACTAACTAAAAACTGATAACAGTGTTAATACAGGTTTTTTTGCCAGAGCATCAGCAAACATTGAATTCCAAAATTTCACACTCTAAAGTGTGTTCCAGAAGGCATTGAATTGTAGTTATGATTAATAGTATATTTCAATAGTATATTAACCTAGGAAGGTAAAATAAAGGAGTCGTGCTCACGTGCGGAATTACCACCCGAGGCGAAGACGAGGATAGTAAGCACGTGGGTGATGGTCCTTTATTTTACTTCCCATGGTTCGATATTTTTGGCCCGGGCGTAGGCTCATAGTAGGGTTTTGCTCCCGAAAAGGGGAAGGGAAATGTCACTTTGCGCTCGCTGGGGCGAAAAATCTTATTCAGTGAGTACAGAGGAATTAGAATATGAGCAAATTATGTATTGGCAACTGCACCTTTACAAGCCTACCGACGAGCCCCACCAAATACGAGTCTACACCTTTTACATCTCCACCAAGCGACACCCTCACCCAAACGATTTGAATATTGAAAACTCTACCGCGCGAACATTACTACCCAATGATTCGAGAAATTGACATCCCTACCGTGGTACAAGCCAATCAGCGGATGAGTCGACCCGATGATGACTCACGGAGGGGCTCCATTCGAACTTCTACAACTGTACAATCGTCAAAATAAGTTCCGCCAGTCCGTGAAGTTGGCTACTGTTTGGAGTATGGGACTGAAACGAAGGAGCGGTTCCTAGCTAACTTCGCGGACTGGCAGAACTTATTTTGACGATTGTACATCCGGACAACTGTACAGCGAACGTTTCGTCAGTTGAACAGTGTCGGTAAAGCAGGGAATTAATTTGTCTTCGCCGCCATCGATCACAATTATTCCTGTAAATAAAAATCGAGTGATGGCTGCATTCACTTCATTAAGAGGAAAAGCATTGTTGGCCTGGGATGGGTGAATACGCCTGAATAGTGAGGTCCGTGGGGCTGAGTTACCTCCACGCAATAACGACAAATCTAGCGACGCATTTTATGATTAATGAGCTACAATGAGCAATGCCCGAAAAGAAATAAAATATAACTGATTATTAAAAATGGATGGCCAAATAACATGCAATTTTCTACATTCGCTGTTCTGCGTTTTTCGTAAATCTGTTTCTTCACATTTGTTAATCTATTGATCACTTATTCTCCATTGTGTGTACATGACCATATACGGTTAAACGCCCCAGCTAGATATATAAACTTATCAATGATGATTCACTGAAAAAAATTAAGAATTAGAAAATATATAAATTACTGTTTCGTCAGTTCGTCGATCACAGTGGAGACAATTGATGATACATATCCACCGAAGTAATAATCATTTTCAAGAGGAACACCCAAAAAAAAGTCGGACTGAATCAGATCGAAAAATCGGTCTGAATCAAGTTGGATTGAATCATGCCGGGAGTCGACTTGTTTCATATCGAATTGACGACATGAATCAAGTCGGACTCGGACAGATGCAAACCAGAATATCGGTCTAATTCAAGTCGATTTTTAGATTTGATTCAGACCGACTTCGGTTTGATTCAGGTTGATTTTTTGGCCACTATCGGTCACTTATTCTCCATTGTGTGTACATGACCATATACGGTCAGACGCCCCAGCTAGATATAGACTTATCAATGATAAGTCACTGAAAAAAATTAAAAATTGGGGAATATAAATTACTGTTTCATCAATTCCCGGTGGCTTGACACAGTGGGAAACTTCGTTGCCTCACATGCGAAAGGTTCCGAGTTCAAATCCCGGCCGGGTACACGGAGAGAAAAATCTCTCAAAAATTAGTGTACCTTCTCACCAACGCATGGGACGTATCGAAGGGGGCACAAGAAAGTAGAGGGAGACACTGAAAAAGTGGTATCCCGTACTTAAATAGTATATTACGCAACAAGTGCGTAATGGGTTTTGTGGCTCGTGGGAAGTTGTAAAACGAGCCGAAGGCGAGTTTTACAATCCCACGAGTCAAAAAACACCATTACGCACGAGTTTCGTATACTATTTTATGTCACAGGGCCCAGAATCCGCGATTCTACCGAGCGAAGCGAGGTTAGAATCGCGTGATTCTGGGCACCTATGACATAAAATTCATATGTGGCACCCTAATTTTTGTGAGTCGTGCACTAATTTTTCATGCGTTTTCCATAGTTTCTCATGTGACTTCCGAAAAACTGGGTGAACAGTATTCTATTTTCTCATTGATGAAATACACTAATTTTTAAGGAAAGTTCTTTTTACTTTTTAATGTATTTTTCTCTCCGTGTAGAATGGTGCGATCTAACCATTTAAAGTCTTGATCATCATTGCAGTATACCCTAACCGGGTCGAAGCTATGTAAAATAACGATAAAAAAAAGTTTCATTAGTTCGTTGATCACAATGGGCACAATTGATGATACATCTCCACCGAAACGGAAAGTTACTCCCTTTCCTCCCGCTCATCAATGAGCAAAATACGAACTTTTCTTTGCAGGCGTGTTAAAAAATCGCATGTGCACCTCGGACGGAAAGTCTTGACTTTCCGTCCTTGATGCACAACATACTATTTTTTTTTAATTCAACAATTTTTAAAAANTGACTTCCGAAAAACTGGGTGAACAGTATTCTATTTTCTCATTGATGAAATACACTAATTTTTAAGGAAAGTTCTTTTTACTTTTTAATGTATTTTTCTCTCCGTGTAGAATGGTGCGATCTAACCATTTAAAGTCTTGATCATCATTGCAGTATACCCTAACCGGGTCGAAGCTATGTAAAATAACGATAAAAAAAAGTTTCATTAGTTCGTTGATCACAATGGGCACAATTGATGATACATCTCCACCGAAACGGAAAGTTACTCCCTTTCCTCCCGCTCATCAATGAGCAAAATACGAACTTTTCTTTGCAGGCGTGTTAAAAAATCGCATGTGCACCTCGGACGGAAAGTCTTGACTTTCCGTCCTTGATGCACAACATACTATTTTTTTTTAATTCAACAATTTTTAAAAATAATAAATATTCAATTCCAATTAATAACGATAGATAAGGTTCAACAATACCTACATGTGAGGGAAAAAAATCAATGTTATAGATTCATTACCGAACAATTGAAGAAAAATGTGTTTATATCCCACGTACGAAAAAACGAATGGGCCGAGCTTGGCCCAAGCCCGGTGGCCGGCCTGCCGAACTTCGGGACCCGTTCCTCAACCGGGACCGCGCCGGACTTGGTTGAAACCTGGAATGATAACANCTTATGATTTTTTCGCCCCTTTCCATTATTGCGATTTGACCCTTACAATTTTACTCTTCAGATTTTACCCTTATGATTCCACCCCTATGATTCCATTCTCATCATCTCACCCTTACGACTTAACCCTTACAGTTACACCAACGGCTGGAGCCCAATGACCAAGCTCCGGGCCACCGCTGGCTGAGGCTTGGTTATCGAGCTCCGGCATGCCAGTGTCCGGCCAAGGCTGGGCCAGATCTGTCAACCAAGGCTCGGTTACCTGCCCTTCTCCCGAGACTCAAGCCCTGGTCCCCAGGGATGGCCGAACCTCGGTCCAAGCCTGGGCGCCCAGGCTTGGCAAGCCCAGGCTTGTGCCAGGCTTGGCCCGTTTCTCCAACACTGGCATTTCGTACGTGGGATAGGCACTCACATACACATCTACCTATGGATACCGTGTAAAAATTGTATTTTCAGGCTTTTAGGATCATAATGCATGGAATTACGAACCTTACCAGCTCTTGGCGTTACCCAGGACTCACGGCGCGGACGTGGCTGGCATCGGGTCCCAAAAATTCCCAAATATAAAATTTATATTGAGAAAGGGTCCGTATATTTTATTTCTTTTCGAGCATTGCTCATCGTGGCTCATTAATAATAAAATGCGTCGCTAGATTTGTCGTTGTTGCGTGGAGGTAACTCAGCCCCACGGATCCCATTATTCAGGCGTATTCACCCGTCCCTGGCCAACAATGCTTTTCCTTGTGAATACTGGCATCACTCGATTTTTTTATTGGCAGTAATAATTGTGACCGATAGCGGCTAAGAAGAATTAATTCCTTGCTCTACCGACGCTGTTTGATCGACGAAACGTTCGCTGTACAGTTGTCATTTTGTACAGGTGTTTCTTTGGACAGTTGATTTTCTGTACAGTTGTTACATCTCAGTTATCACTAAATCCTGTACAGTTGTCCGGATGTACAGTTGTAGAAGTTTGAATGGAGCCCCATGACTCACCCTGTACAACTGCACTTTTCAACAAGCCAATCCACATGTAACTGTCACCGCACAGCTCTACCGCATTAGAGGTTTACCAACGTAAATCTGTACAACTGCACCGTGCGACAAGCCTACCTGCGAATTTTTGATTTGTAACATCCGCAGCTTAAAAAAAAAATGAAATAGTTTTATAAAATTCTGTTAATTTTTTCTTTAAAATAGTTTCTATTGAATATTTGAATTTATAAAAACTGCAGAAAAGCTGCGGCTTTTTTCAATAGAATGGACCAAAAATTCATTCCAAAATATATTCCTTCGTTCCCATTAATCCAGTACACCCTGACCAAAAATTTGTCGAAAAATGGAGTGGGGGAAAAAAAATTCGGGAAATAATCGGTAGGGATGTATTTTCGGTGGGAATGTATATCCGGCAAGGATAAAACTCGGTGGAGATTACTGCCGGTGGGTTTATCTTTCGGTGGAGATGTTACAAATTAAAAATTCGTGGGTAGGCTTGTCGCACGGTGCAGTTGTACAGATTTACGTAGGTAAACCTGTAACGCGGTAGAGCTGTGACATCAGTGAGAGCGGTTACAGTTACATGTGGGTTGACTTGTCGAAAGGTGCAGTTGTATAGGGTGAGGCATCATCGGGTCAACTCGTCCGCTGATTGGCTTGTACCTTGGCGGGGATGTAAATTTCTCGAATCATTAAGTAGTGATGTTCGCGCGGTAGAGTTGTAAATATTCAGATCGTTTGGGTGAGAGTGTCGCTTGGTGGAGATGTAAAAGGTGAAGTTGTGCAGGTGGACTCGTATTTGGTGGGGTCGCTCGTCGGTAGGCTTGTAAAAGGTGCAGTTGTACAGTTGCCCTGCGTTTTACAATGAGAATCATTATATACAATTAATTGCCCTTGAAAAAGGGCATAATGAAAGGACACCAACACTGGCGCTAGTCATAGAAAATCTTAAATCGAGAAGTGCCAAATCCATTTGGCATTTAGTATATTTAGTACGAAAGAATCTCATAATCTTGCAAATTTTAGTAATAAACAAGTTCCTTGACGCAAGTCAGATATACTTTAAAAAAGTTTTGTCTTATCTCACTGTGGTACTTCATACTATTCATTACCATTCTGCTTCATTGACATTGGAATAATCCTTTCTCTCATGAAGGTAATTAACGTTGCGAAAGAAGCGAATGCCCACGACTTCATCGAATCATTTCCGGAAGGATATGATACTAAAGTTGGGGAACGAGGAGCTCAACTTTCTGGAGGACAGAAGCAGCGCATCGCCATTGCCAGAGCTCTGCTAAAGAAACCGTCAATTTTGATATTAGATGAAGCAACAAGGTATAAAAAAAAGTCCCTTAAGTATGTTGATCCAATTTCTCAAAAACAAGTTTTTTTATGTTCGGCAAAAATTGAGATATTTCGTACATTCTTTTAATGATTCAATTTTTTTAATGAATCGTTCTGATTACAAGAAGTTTGATACGTGAAAAATTCTTCAATGTTATGATTTTGTTTATTTTATAAAAATTATCGCGTATGTCACATACACATGATTAATGTTTTTTTCTGTTTATTTACGACATTGTGCAAGAAAATATTCACGTTGTAACGTCATTCAAAATCATCTGAACATTCAGAATTCAAAATTTTTCAATCATTTTTTTTAATGTAAAACGAAACCATTTGGAAAGTGTTACCTTAGATTTCGACGTAATTTCATACAAATAATTTTTTTAAAACAGTAAAAAAATTTCATGAAATACCCCACTGGTGTTAAAAGGAGAACGATAACTCTATTTGTCACTTGAAAAAATCTAACGATTTTAGAGTATTTGCGGTTTTTCATAAACATCCTTGACCATCCAAAAAACTAAAATCTCTTTTTATTATCGTTTTGGTGGAATCTATCAAGTGCTTTGGACTACGAAAGTGAGAGAATCGTCCAGAAGGCCCTCGACAATGCCACTCAGGGAAGAACAGTCCTAGTCATTGCTCACAGGCTGAGCACAGTCAGAAATGCTGATTTGATAGTAGTATTACAACGAGGAACAATTGTAGAAGTATGAAAATCAAATTATTCCTACTTTCAGGGTCCACGAAATCACGATTTTTACCAATTTTATCTTTATTTTTATTCAACAGATGGGAACACATGAAGAATTAATTCAAAAACACGGGGCCTACTTCGATTTAATAAAACGTGAAGAGAATGAGTCTGAGAGTTAAAGTTGTTTTCTTAGTATGGTAATGGGAACACGAAGAAATAAAAATTTCAGGCGATGTTCAATTGTTCTGCAAATGTCACTTCATCACAATCAACCATCGAGAACTAATCCTGATCAATTGAAGCAGGATTTCTTATGTTGGATTGGAAAACCTACCACCCCTGACCTTCCTGTAGTCCATTTTTTTTTGTAAAATTTGAATGTTGACTACATTTTTTTCCATGTTTATTTTTATTCTCCCAGATCTACGGGTGCAGCATCAAATCTCCTTATAACACGTTAAAGGATGGATCAGATTATCAATTTTTATTCATTTTATTCGTGTTAAACATTTGATACAAAGGAACTTTATTGTTTCTATTTGGTGTATATTATATATAGAATAAAAAATAGAAGGAAAAATTGAATGAAAATAATAGAAATAGTGACAGTAAGCTGGTATGTCATGTTGGAAATTCGGAACTGTTTGCTTGATTTTCTATAGCTTTGACTGAAAGAGGAAAAGTTTTTCATTTTTTTCCAAAGAATTTGATCTGAGTACTGTATATATTGAATGAGAATCAATGAAATTATCTCTGAAATCATCAAACGGGTGAACAAATATAAAGTGCAGCAAATTATCTGGTTGTCCAAGGTGGCACAGTGAACAAATGTTTGAATACTGAACAATGATCTTAAATTCTGTTTATTTTTCAAACGGACTCCATTAATTGGTATCGAATTCTATAGTTGAAAAAGCGTTTTCAAATTTCAAAACTCTTTTTTGAAACTCGTGCTCGAAAAAGTTCCGTTTTATTTACGGCATTCACTTTTCGTTTACAACAGCTGACTTTTTAGTTCTAGAATAGAATAGAATTGAAAATGTGCGGCTGGTTACTTAAAGCGCCCAGAGTCACCTAAATCATACGATCTTTTGTAACTTCCGCCTTAGTTTCGGTCAGTCACACAGCCCCAGCCCTGTGTTTCTCACTAGGCTAATAAGGCTGGTGACAGCCGCTTGTTGTAAGTCCTCTGGTTCCAGGAAAGCCTGGCCCCAGATTTTATAGCGACGGAGTGCTAATAGGGGGCATTCACATAAAATGTGGATGACGCCCTCCTTATCGCCTCCGCACAGTCTGCAGTCTTCTTGTTCTGCAAGTTTCATCTTGAACAGATGAGCTCTGAGAGCTGTGTGGCCCGTAAGGAGCCCTGCGGCTAC